GTCACCTCTGTCTTGGGGAAACTACTCTGGTGCTGCAAGGGGGATACGTTGGAAGGAATGAGGAAGAGGAGACCCATCATGAGTCCCTCATCCCTAGGGTGGCCCACAGCAGCCAGAGGAATCTTCCTTAAATAGAAATCTGATCCCATTACTCTCCTGCTTTAAACCCCTCCAGAAAAATACACTGAGCCCCCCATGAACTGGTACCCACCTCCCCTCATCTCCCAAATGTCTCCCCCTCATCAGTGTGTCCAGCCCACTTACTTTCCTGCCTATCCCTCCGACTCCCTCAATACCTGTCCACATACTAGACCCGCTGCCCCTACTCCTTTGACCACCCAACCCCCAGGTCTCAGGCGGGCCTCCTTCCTCAGGAGGACCTCCCCGACCAGCCTCTATCACAGTTAGGTCTCTCAAGTCTTACCCTCTCTCACATCACAGCTCTGTATTGTTTCCTTAAGAGCCCATTTTCAGCTTGTGTCTCTGTGCATCTGTTTGTATGATGGCTTGTTTGAAGTCCCTCTTCCCCACTGGACTGGAAGCTCCGTGAAAGCAGTGGCTAGGCCTGGTTTTTATGGCTGGATATGCATAGCCTGGCACAGTGCCTGGCACATAGAAGTGCCCAAAAAGATGTGTTGGGTGAGTGAGTGAGTAGATGCCTTCCATGGTGATAAGTCAAATCATAGCTATAATGATGGGTGGCTAGGGAAGGAACCCAGGAGAGCTGCCATCTGAGCTGGGTTTAGGAAGATGAGTACTGGCTTAACAGACAGGCAAGAGGTGATAAGGACATTCTGGGCATAAGGAATGGCATGTGCAAGAGAAGGGAGCATGAACCACCCTGGAAACTGTGGAAAACTCTAAGGCAGGGTTTCTCAACCTTGGCACTGTTGACACTTGGGGCCGGATAATTCTTTCAGTTTGGGTGGGAGGGTACATTCTATGCACTGTAGGATACTTAGCGGCTTTCCTGGCCTCTACTCACTAGATGCCAATAGTGTTCCCTCCCCTAAAGTTTTCACTACCAAAAATGTCTCCAGACATTGTCAAATGTCCCCTTGGGGGGAAAAAATCACCCTCCACTGCTCTTGATATGTCTGACATGTTGGTGTTCAAGGTACAAAGTGGGAATGGTGAGAATGGAAGCCAGTGGGGCAAATAAGGATTTGCCAAGGTAAAGATTTGAGACTGTAGCCTGTGACTATGATTGAAAGGGGTTTCCATGGGAGAGGCACCTGGTCCCAACTCTGGGAGGCTCCCTCAGGTGCAGTGTGGAGGATTTGATTAGAGTGCTAGACAAGGTGGGAAGCTAGCCCATCTCCTCTCCTGAGGCAGGCATGGATCCCTCCAGTACTGGGCAGGGAGGAAGCATTGGAGGCTGGGATTTTCTCTCTGGAGGATCACACCCAGCCCCCAGCAGCTGGTCCAGGGAGCCCACGGAGGAGCATGGCCATGGATGAGGGATGTTGAGTTTGAGGAAGCACTCTCTGGAGGAGGAATACTTCTTGTTATTGACAAGCACAGTGAAGAGGGAAATATTGGGGTTTCAGGTGCACTGGGATTCCAACCCCAGCTCTCCCACTCCATCTGTGAGGCTTGGGCAAGCCACTCTATTGATGTGAACTTAATTTCCCCATCAGTGAATTGGGTGCACTAAAACCCCCCTCACAGGGCCATTGGGAAGATTAACTGAAACAACAGATATGAATGCCTTTGTGGCCCATTCCCAGCCCAGTGCAAGGGCTTCAGACCTGCTCATTTCTCCATTTGGCCTCCGAAAGCTTTTCCCCCTGAAACTCATAGACTCCATACTATAGTACCTTTAGTGAACAAATCTAAAGATGATTATCAGTATCACACACCAAGCACGCTCTGTATTTTACATTTTCAAAAAAAAATATGATTTAACATTGGTGTCAAATATACTTCTTTGTGATGAACGTTTTGGCTTCAAACACTCACCATCTGACTGGAACCTAACCAAAGCGCTGACAACTGTGTCAGGACTCACCTCACCTTCCCTACAGTCCCGTGACCTGAGTCCCAGTATCATTATCCCGACACTTTACAATGAGGAGGCTGAGGCAGTCTAGGAAGCTTGCTTCAAGTCATTAGCCAAAGTAAAACAGTAAAAGGTAGGGCAGAGATGTGAACCCTCCTAGAGCGGTAGCTTCAGAGTCTGTGCTGCTAAATAAGTATTTGGAGGACCCATTTGGCTTCTCAAGTGGAATTCACTTCTAACACATCTGTTCTGATGTCAGGAAAACTTGTTTATTCTTGTAAATATTATAAAATCAAAATTCTAGCACAGAATACCACTACTAGAGTTTCCGACTCAGAGAAGAGTAGACAGAGGCCTGAGTGAGGAGAAACAAGTTACACAAATCACACTGTGGGTTGCAGCTGAGTTTGAGCAAAAGCCCAAGTCTGTGGACTCCCAGGCCAACTGGCTCCTTGTTCCCGCTGAAGTGAAGTTTCTGGAACAACACTGCCTAGGTTCTGGGTTCTCTAGACATCGCCAGGATGCTTGTTAACTATGTGCTTTGGGAAGTTACTTTATCACTCCATGCCTGAGTTTTGTCATCATCAAAAATTGGATTAAAATAGCAATTCCTTTATTGGGTCCTATTAACTATTTACAGCTAAAAGAAAAGTGTGTGTGTGTGTGTGTGTGTGTGTGTGTGTGTGTGTGTGCGCGCGCGCGTGCGCGCGCACGCGCGCACCGCATGAACGTATGATTTAGAACAGAATCTAGTATTTAGGAAGCACTTGAAAATGATCATTATTATTCTTTTACAGTTACTTTTGTGCCAGAAACTTTACATATGAGGCCATATCTAACTTTGTTCTGACCATTGTGACTAGGGGTGATCCTCCCTGTTTCACAAAGGAGGAAATGGTGGTGCCTGGTAGGAAGACTTGGTCATGCACATCAGAAGAGTCTGTAATGTGCCCCTGTGAGGATGTGTCCCAGTAGGGATTTGCATCTTTCGGGATGCATTGCTTTCCCTTTCCATGCGTGCAAGTCCCCAGTGTATTTGTCCTTCAGGCTTTGGGACAGCCTTTTGGTTCATCTGGACTGGGCACTCAATGGTTATTGTGTCTTTTCCTTTCTAAAGAAGAGAAGGAAGCCCTTGAAGGCAAAAGGGTGGGATGGGAAGAGTAAGGGGAAACAGAGGCCATGGTATGTCCGGATGACTTGCGATGTGTCTAGGGATGGGGGGAGGGATGATCTCACCACAATCCCTTTTCCTTGTGCACCTTTTAGGGACATGCAGATCTTCCAGGTTGTAGCTGTTGGCAGAAGGGTAAAGAATCTTCCTAAAACCTCAAGAAAATATCCCCTTGCTCCTCTCCAATTTCCATTATATCTGGGTTCAAATTCCAGCATTGCCAGGTACTCCTTCTCTAAGCTTGGATAACTAACCAAATTTCTCTGATCCTTCACCTTTTCACCTATAAATTTGAGTGCATAATCCCTGACTCCCATGGGGAAACGTGCATCTAACGCAGCGGTTCTCAACTTTGGCTGCATGCATGAGTCACCTGGGGAGATTTAATTAATACTGATGCCTGGATCTCACCCCCAGAGGTTCTGACATAATTGTTCTGGGGTGTAACCTAGATATCAGGATTTTCAAAGCCTCCCCTAGGTGATTCTAATATGCAGCCCAAAACTGAGAGCCTCTGTTATCCATGTAGCAGATACCTAATTAATACTGTTCTTTTACATTTCTTTAGTGTTAAGTGCCTGTTCACATTTTATTTTTAAAAGCCTTATCAGTCTCACAGGATGGCTCAAGGATTCTTTATTTCTGCCACCCCCATGCACATTCTCATACTGACAACCTCTGCACTTTCAAAACAGATGACTCAACCCCCAGCCAATCAGCCAGGTCCTTTATCTAGCTTTGGCTCCTCTTCTGTTCATTGGCTAGAGCCAATTGGTTAAGACACACAATGCCCTCCTGGAGATGCCAATGAGAAAATCAAACAGATGGAATGATCCATTGTTTGCTCTTCAGCCAGGGAACTCCATCATTTACCTCCAAATCTATCTCTTACAGTGTGCAAAAGCTTATATTATAAGACCCCAAGTTCTCTCAACTGGATCTTAAACAATAACGTTTCTCCCAGCTCTGCCCATGGGATAACTTTTGTATTGTTGCCCACCTTTGTATAAATGCCCACCTCCATTCTTCATGGACTACTCCCATGTCAGGAGATGTGCCATCAGCCAGTCATTCATTTCCAGCCACGCCTCCCCAAAGACACTCTACTCTAGTCATGCTATTTCTCAAAAGCTTTCCATGCTTTGCATATGTCTTAAATGTCTTTTCCTCCTATGGTCTATCTGGAAGGTTTTCACTCACCTTTACAAGCCAAATTCAAATGTTCTCCTCTGCAGTTTACCTAATCTGTTCTTCCAGTCCCTTCCCACCCCAAGAGAATTTAATTGTTTCCACCCCTGTGCTCTCATAACCTGTGAAATTCTCAGGTATAACATTTACCCTGATGTATTATATTAAGCATTACACTAGATAGGGATTTTGTAATTTGCCTTTTCATAACCAACTTGTAGCACAAGGATAGGGCCTTAGCAGGTGCAAACTAAATGCTTATTGGACTGCATCCAATATCTCTGTCCTCAAATCTATACCAGTGAATTTTTGAAACACCTCCCCCCCAAAAATCAAGACAATTTTCTCCATCACCATCCACAAGCTTATTAGTATTCATCTGCTATGATAAAACTTTAAAAAAGAAAGATTAATTTTCTTGCCCATATATGTATATGTGAACAAAAAATGAGTAAACACTTACCATAAACCTGAAATAACACAAGAGATGTCATGTCTCTGGAAGACTACATTTTATAAGAAAGGGGATATATTTGGCGGAGGGAATGAAAGGGTTTGGAGAGGTGGAATTTTTACTGCTTTATTTCCTGAGATGGGGGGAGCATGAGGGACTGATGGGGAGAAGAGCAACTGCTTTACCTTTTCCGGAGCAGGCAGCTGTAAGTGGTTAACCTCCAAGGGAGTTATGAGAGGGACGGTCTGGAAGCCATCCTCAACCGAAGGCGGCTTGGTTCCCTTCTCACTGGGGTTACTGTTCAGCTTCACCATCCTTACGCCTTTCTTCCCAGACCTAAGGCAAGCAGTGGGGTTCTGGTTACAGTGGGAGGTGAAGCAGGGTAAGAGAGGGCTGACGACAGAGAAAACAGCAGTGTCCTCAACGGGTCCACTTGGTTTTCAGTGTAGAGATCAGTCATCTATATATTTTCTGCTAGATTTCATGACATGATTCTCATTATCCAGCAAAACTTCTTTAATCATCAAAATATGCCACCTGCCTATGGAGTTCAACAGCCCTCAAATTCAGGAAAACTCAAGGAAATCCCAGACTTACACCAACAATATACAAGCTTTAAAAAAAATCCAAGATACTAGAGCTAATACAGTCATATAATTTCAGTGAAAAGCTTATTTTTACCAAAAAATTAAATCCTATTATTCTGGGTCACCCTGCAGTATGATAAATTTCACCTTACCACCACACCTTACCACCTTGCTATTTTATGATGTTGGCTTTTCTTCAGCAATCTCCTTAAACCACAATAAATACATTCAGTGTCTCTATGTGTACTGTACCCTTTCACATGATATGTAGATTGTACAAGAGATACAATTTCCTAAAACAAACAACAAAAAAAAAAGGCTGGCTTGAACCTGATCCTGTTATTCAGCCATGGAATGCCTCCATTTCCTCAATAGCGAAGGGCCATTTTTTTTTCTTCCATGGAAAGTTAGCAACCCCCGTATTGCAAGATTGCCAACTAAATAAACAAATCACATTTATTTCTCTCAAGCTCCCTTGGAAGTCAAACGATGCTCCCACCCCACCCCTAGAAGCCCAGACAACTGGATTTCTCTTGTCAATCCTGCTGATGGAACATTATTAGACAAAATAGGATTGTTGTGGAGATGAAAGGATGATAAAGGGTCGGAGGATATTGAGGAGTGGTTATAACAAAAACAAATGCCTACTTACTGTGATGCACTCTTGGGGGGTCAGAGCAGATTCAAGCCAATTTGAAGAGGAGGAGGACGGCCAGGAGTCCTCCCTCCTCAGCCCGAGCTTGTGGTGCTGAAAAGACAGCGCCTTGCCTGTGTCTGGATTGGGAGTTTCTGAGAGCGAGGCGCGAGCAAGGGGAAGAGCTCCTGGCAGCTGCCTGCCTGCTCCCTCGCTTGCGCCCCCTCCCACCGGGGAACGGGCTCCCACACCATCTGTCATCTGGCACCACCTGCTGTTTCTCATGCATGGCCACAACCAGGGCATGGGACAAAATGGTTTCAAGAAAGTGGGAGGGATTCTGGCCATAATAATAATAATAATAACCATATAATAAGCAATCCTTGAGTCTTTAGAAAAACAGAAGAGACATATTCATTAGGAGAAGGGATCACTTTTTAAAATCTTCCAGAGCAATATTATGAAACCCAGAATGGTTCAGGACCTGCGCTGTGCTCTGACCTGTGGTAAGGAGTGAAGGGAAACCTATATTTATTATTTCCCATGCAGTGGGCACTTTTCCAGTTTCTTTCAGACTATTTTCCTCATTTGCAAAATGTGATGGGATTAGTGTGAGGTGGGAATGTGATCACAACAGGAAAGCAGCTCAGAGCAGGGCACACTATTCTCACAATGCCACTGGAATCATACAGGTCAGGTAGAGCACCGGGAGCTGGACCTTGAGCCCTGATCCATGGCCACTGATGTTTGCATGCAGTCCACAACTTTGTATAGCTTCCAAGTTGGTGTCTGGAATCAGAGAAGGTGAAGTCCTGGTATCAGCTCTATGAAGTTCTGACTGTGGAGATCTTGGACATTTTGTGTTCCCTCCCCAAGCCTCCATTTCTTTATCTATGATGTGGGAATAATAATACCTCCCTTGCAGGGTGGTTGTGAGTAAGATGAGACTGTGCTCAAGGATACCTCTTCTAGCTCAGGGACAAGGTTCCGAATGGCTGAATTATTTCATCTCTGGAGATTGCTCTTACACTCTTAGAATCCTCTGAGATTAAGACTATTGCCACAAGTTTCTCCTCGCTGTGGTTCAAATCACTGTTGGTCACTTATCCCCAGCTGCAGTGCTATTTATGATGCACATCATGAGGTCGAGTGGTCTTGGCATTAGTAATAGCATCCCCTTTCACTTTCAAAAATATCCTGGTTCCCATGATAAATTGTTTGGCCACCTTAATTAGTGCTCACATGATGAGCATACACTCTATCACCTAAAAGGCCAGGAGAAAACATGCTTATTATCGGTATTGTTCAGTAATGAAATGGACATGTGTGTGCATGTGTGCATGTGTATGTGTAAAGAGAGATGTTTCTGAGACAGTAAAGTCTATAACATATCAGAGCTGCACAGGGTACTATTACTAGAAGTATGCATATATATGAGAGGAAGTTACTTTAATATTAATTTCTCACTCTCTCCTTTCCAAAGACCAGGATGACTTTCAGGTGCAAGCATCGTCTAAGGAAAACACAATGTAGACATCCACATGGAGTCACTTGTGAACACTTGTGTCTGATCCAATTATTGTTGTCTCCAAAGGAAAAAAAAAAGTCCCTTTGACACAGCTTATGATTGATTCACAAGCAGAAGTCACACCTTTAATAACTCCAAGCCAGAGGTCCTGACAGTTTAGTAAAAGGTCCAGGAGAAGCACCTGTCTCATGGCAATGGGAAATCCAGGCTTCCTGGTGTGTGGAGTCAAGAGAGAGGCTGCAAGAAGAAACAGGGGGCTGGAGTGATGTGGAAAAGCCCCTTATGGGAAAATGATATTGAGAGGAGCTTAATATAATAGACTATTATTCTTCTGTTGAGTTCTGGGAAATATGTTTCACAGTTGAAAACAAAACTAGAGCATTTTTATGAGGTTTTCCATGTGTGTAGATGTAATATATAGGATAACTGCAACATGAAGAGGAGAGGATAAATGGACCACTACAGTGGTAATGTTTCTATATTCTAAGTGGTAAAGTATATTCCCACTAAACAGTGAAAAGTTAGCTATGTCTATTTAAATCCCCAGAATAACCAAAAATATACAGAGATAAGATCAAAACTACAATAAAGAAATATAAATGGAATACTAAAAAAAAAAAATCAAATAACCCAAAAAAGGCAGGAAAGAAAAAACAGGAACAACAACAAAACAAAGGAAACAAGCAGAAAACAAATAATGAAATCGTAGACTTAAATCCAAACTTAGCATTATCATCCAGAGTTCATAGTTTACATTAGAGCTCATTCTTGGTGTTGTACATTCTATGGATTTGGACAAATGTGTAATGACATGTTTCCATCATCTGGTTATCATACAGAATAGTTTCATTGCCCTAAAAGTCCTCTGTGCTCCACGTATTTATCCCTCCCTCTCCCTCAGTCCTTCGCAACTACTGATCTTTTAACTGTCTCCATAGTTTTGCCTTTCCAGAATGTCACGTAGTTGGAATCATACAGTAAGTTGCCTTTTCAGATCGGTTCTTTCACATAGTAAAATGCATTTACGTGTCCTCCATGTCTTTTCATGGCCTGCTAGATCATCTTTTTTTTTTTTTTTTTTTAGCACTGAGTAAGATTCCATTGTCTGGGTAAAGCACAGTTTATCCACTCACCTGCTAAAGGACATTGTGGTCACCTCCACATTTTGACAATTATGAATGTGGCTACTATAAACATTTGTGTGCAGGTTTTTGTGTGGACATAAGTTTTTTACTTCTTTAGGTAAAAACAAAGGAGTGCAATTCCTGGATCATATGATAAGAGTATGTTTAGCTTTGTAGGAAACTGCCAAACTGTCTTCCAAAGTGTCTGTACCATTGTGCATTCCCAGGAGAGATGAGAGTTCTTATTGCTCCATATCCTTGCCAACATTTGGTGATTTTGAGACTCTTGAATTTGGCCATTTAATAAGTATGGAGTAGCACTTCATCATTGTTTAATTTATATCTCCGTGATGACATATGATGTAGAATATCTCATATGCTTATTTGCCATCTATATATCCTCTTTAAGTAAGTGTCTATTAAGGTCTTTGGCTCATTTTTTAATTAGGTTGTTTTCTTATTGTTGAACTTTAAGAATTCTTGTGTATTTTGGATAAGAGTCCCTTATCAAACATGTGTTTTGCAAATATTTTCTCCCAGTCTATGGCTAATCTTTTCATCCTCTTGACAGTATCTTCTGCTGCAGAGCAGAATTTTTTAATGTTGATTAAGCCCAGCTTATCAATTATTTCTTCCATGGTTTATGCCTTTGGTGTTGTATCTAAAACACCACCACCAAAACCATCTAGATTTTCTATGTTATCTTCCAGGGATTTTATAGTTTTACATTTTACATTTGGATCCATGATCCATGTTATCTTTGTGAAGTGTGTAAAGTCTGCACCTAGATTAATTATTTTGCATGTGAACATCCAGTTGTTCCAGCACCATTTGTTGAAAAGGCCATCTTTTGTCCATTGTAATGCCTTTGCTCTTTATCAAAGATTGGTTGACTACATATTTTTAGGCTTATTTCTGGGCTCTCTATTTTGTTCTATCAGTCTATTTGCCCATTCTTTCTCCAATAACACACTATCTTCATTATTAAAAATTTATAGTAAGTCTTAAAGTCAGATAGTGTCAATCTTCCAACTTTGTCGTTCTTTTTCAATATCCTTGGCTATTCTGGATCTTTTGCCTCTCCATACAAACTTAAGCGTTAGTTTGTTGATATCCATAAAATAACTTGCTAGAATTTTTATTGAGATTGCATTGGTCCTATAGATCAATAGAAAATCTGGCATCTTGGGAAAAACTGACACATTTATAATATTGAATCTTCCTATCCATGAACATGGAATATCTCTCCATTTATCTAGATCTTTTTTGATTTCTTTCATTACATTTTTGTTTTCCTCCTATATTCGATATATTTTGTTAGCTTATACCTTAGAATTTCATTTTTGGGTAATACTATAAATGGTATTGTGTTTTTAATTTCAAATTCTACTTGTTAATTGCTGGTGTATAGGAAAGCAATTGACTTTTGTATATTAACCTTGTATCCTGTAACTTAGCTACAACTGCTTATTAGTTCCAGGAGTTTGCTTGTTGATTCTTTCAGATTTTCTACAGATTAAAAATCAGAAAACATCTGGAGGGAAAATATGGTAGAAAAGTTTGGGCTCTCTTCCTAGCTGTTCCCTTTTCTCTAGGATCTTGTCCCTTCCAGTTCTGGATATCTTGGTAGCAAAGAACTCCAAAGTTTGTCTCCCCACCTCCAAGAGACTGACGAAAGCTCTAGGCCATTGCTTTCTGCTAAGCTTCTAAGAATGTCATTAAGAATTGGCAGTGTGAAGGGGAAAAGCAGCGAGAATTTGGAGTTTGCCCCAATCCATTACTAATTTCTCTCTAGAACCTTAGCTCCCCAAGTCCTTGCTTCACTGGTCCATTTCCTTCAAACAGCTGTTTTGTCTGTTTTATTTTTAATTGACAAAATTTATTTTTTAAAGCAGTTTCAGGTTTACAGAAAAATTGAGTGGAAAGTGCAGAGTTCCCATATACCCCTGCCACCACCCACCCTGTGCAAGTACACATACAGTTTCTCCTATTATTAACATCTGACATTAGTGTGAAATATTTATTACAATTGATGAGCCACTGATGATACATTATTATTGACTAAAATCCATAATTTACATTAGGGTTTACTTTGTATTTGTACACTCTGTGAGTTTTGGCAAATGTATAATGTATCCACCATTACATGTATAGAATACATTCATCATTACAGTGTCATACAGAAGAGTTTCATAGTCCTAAAAATCCCTTGTGCTCTACCTATTTATCCCTCCCCCCCTCCCTCCAAACCCCTGGCAACCACTGATTATAAATTTGTCTTTTTCAGAATGTCATATAGTTGAAATCATACATTATGTTGCCTTTTCAGATAGGCTCCTCTCACTTAGCAATATGCATTTGACTGTCTTCCATGTCTTTTCATGACTTAATAGCACATTGGTTTTTAACACTGAATAGTATTCCATTGTTTGGATATACCACAATTTATTTATCCATTCACCCAGTGAAAATATCTTGATTGCTTTCAGGTTTTAGCAATTATGA